ATATATATTTAAACATATATATATATATATATATATATATATATATATATATATATATATAAACATATACATATGTTGGGATTGGCTTAGACACTATTCATTTAAGTATCTTCCACAAACAACTTTAGTCTACAAACTTCACAAAACACAAACTGCTGTGAACCAGAAACTGCTTGGCAAGGAGTAATCAACAGCTTTCTAAGTCATCTCCTAAACAAGGCCAAACACTGAATCACTGTGGAATTCCTCACGTGCAGTTACACCCAGTTAATCTTCAAGAAAGCAGCAAACTGTGTAAATCTACTTAGGCTGGGGTGGTAAGTACTTCCAAAGTGAGCAAGACTGGCTAAGCTCACCCACAGGAAGGCAAACCCATTTGTTAAGGAGAGATATACAGACAGACCAAAATTATTAACATTCACTCACCTACTTCCAAAACACTGTGACAAACCACTAGGGCAACATTCTCAGCCAAAATGGCTTTGCTGCATGTCATGATCTGCAAAACCTGTACTTCATGACATCACTGGGTCAACCCCCAAGGAAGGAGTTGCATGAAGTAAGGAAACATATAAAAAATTGCAAAAGAAAGAAACATAACCCAAAGTAAGACTGGAAATATCCACTTTCAGTTTGTAAAGACTTTTCAAGTATGAAGCACTTTCTTTTCCTTTCAAGCCGCAATGAAATATTTTCAGTTACAGAAGTCCTGATCAATGGTTTCATTTCCGTCGGATGCTGGTTTCACATAATCAGGCTGTATCTACTTCAGGAATATCGTATCTGCAAGTCAGAGCCCACGGTGATAGGAAGTGCTTGTTTCTTCATAGCCTAGGCGCTGACTATAAGCAGCCACCGGAGTACTTACTTATCCCACTGGCCTCACCTGAGCAGGTGTATGTGCCCACAGGCCTGCGATGCAAGAAAATCCTGTTCATCCCAGGTGCCCTGGTTACAGCGCTTAGGGAAAGAGGGATGAGCAAGGCCCGGCCCACCTCTGCTTCCACTGAAACTGGGTGACTCCTACATATGTAAAATGCAGAAGGGACTAACAACCATTCAGCAGAGCGAAATTCAGAACCGATGTCCTCACCAAACACCAGAACCTCATCGTCATTCAGAAGTTTGAACACCCTTCACCTTCTGTCTCACAACCTACACTTACAGGGGTGGGTGGAGGACTAGGGAGCCATAGGTACCAGCATGGAGAAGTCTTATGTGGGTGTTCCCTGGGATGTACATGGCAGAAGGCAGCTGTAGTAAGAGGTCTTAAAGGCAGGGTGTGTGCGTGTGTGTCAGGATTCAGGTCCTGGCTTTGAACACTGGGTGGTATAGACTCTGGGCAAGTTAGTTACTCCGCCCATCAGTGTTCACTGCAAAGTGGAGATTAATATTCCCTGCCTCACAGGGCCTCTGCCAATGGGATAGAATCTTAATCCACAGACAGCATTCAGAACACCAACCAGCAGGTAGCAAGGGCTTGGGTGGTCATTAGGTACTACTCGTCTGTGTGTGTACAAGAAGAGTGATTCTGACTTGCATGCTTTCCAGAGGTGATTTAAGTATGCATCCCTTACATTCCTTCTTATTCCTCAAGAAAGTTATCTAAAATCAGCTCTCAGCTGATTATGTATTTCTAGTAAAATCAAACTGCATTTTATACCTGAAGATGGCCAATTCTGTCGCCAAACTGAAGAAAGCATTTATGAACTGAAAGGCACAGGCTTAACATCACAAAATCTTATAAAAAAGTATTAATTAGATTTCCCATTCAGGCTAAGCCAGGATGAGATCATGAAGTCACTCATGGTAAGCAGGTCCCCTGCGCTGGAAGTGTGCTTCTTTCTCCAGTGAATGGCAAAATACGAACAAAAGAAACCTTTGACTCAAATGCCACTGGTACCCAGGGTCTTGTGTCTGTATAATGCCTACACATTCATTTCTTTCTCTGCCTATAGAAAAAAAAAAAGAAAGTCTTGTTTGTTTTTCTGATTCAGTCAGCCCTTTCAGTCTTTGAATCTAAGGAGAACCAAGTGAAAAGGCATCTTATCAGCATGCTCCAGCCAGCAGGCTGTCCCCCCTCTCCACACACAAACCTCCAGCCTCCCTCAGCAAAAGGCCTAACCCTTGGAGCCTTTTCCCATTTCAGGGCTAAGACCCTGCTGGGTTTTGACAACAAATAAATGAATACACAAGGCCCTAACATAATTAGCCATCTTTTCAGGTACAGAGAGGTGGGGGAGGAGGGGTTCGGGGAATACTTAGTCTAAATGGGCTTCGCTTCTCAAGTTGACACTGGCACATAGCATCTGAGGGCACTTATTTTAAATAGAACCACAAGAAGTCAGTTTTAGGGATGCCCACCTGTGAATCCTGACAATAAGGATATCTGTGTCAGCCAAGCAATCAGCAGAGATTTTAATTGTCTAATCCAGGTGGAAGTGGCTGTGACTTGGGACACGGTGGGGCATACACAGGTACATTTACTTCTCTTGAGGGGAAATTGAACAAAAGGGCCAAAGACAAGAAAATAGAAAGACAGAACTAGGAAAGACACCGAAGAAACATTGACTGACGCTGGGACAGCTGGAACAGTAATTCTGGGAACCCCCCAGGAGAAAGTCGCCAGTGTCACACATCTGGCTCTGGATGGAACCCTACTTTGCATAGAAGGATACAGTTCGCTGCTTGGATTACTCTGTGACTAAGGATGTAAACTAGAGATTTATGTGGAAGGAAAAGATCTGCAATGCTGGTTTTTTATTTTATTTTATTTTATTTTTTCCCTCCCAACAAGCATTCTGCCACTGACCTCTAAAGTTTAACCTTTCCTAAGCAGACCTGCACATTTTTAACATAATTTAGAGCTAGGTTTTGTCATTGCTGCTGCTGCTGCTGAGACGCTGGGTTTTTTTTTTTTTTTTTTTTTTTTTTTTTTTTTTATCACAACATGGCTTCAGTAACCTCCTTTCAAAAAACAAAAGACCGAAACTAGAACCTGCCAGTTTCACTCCTTCTTTTTCCAGGCAGGGGAATTTGGCTCTAACCTTTTTAAGTGCCTCTGGAGTTCAATTCTGTTAGAAAATGTATGAAAATTAGAATAGGAAAAGGCGTGTGTATGACTCAGGCTTTATCCCAGTATCTCTGTCACAGGATTTCCCTGTGTTTCTGAAAATCTTGAGAAAGTGACAGAAGTTCCTGTTTTCTTTTCTTTTTTCTTTTCTTTCTTTCTTTCTTTTTTTTTTTTTTTTAATAAGGGGGGCGCGCGAATGCGCGAATACGCGAACACGAATACACACACACACACACACACACACACACACACACACACACACACATACACACACTTCACTCACTCACGTCTTCCGGGTTCCCTATGAATCAGACAGGTCTCCCGGAGGTCCCCAGTGCAATGTAGAGCCCTGTCCCGACTTGGTCCGTGCTCCCCGGCACACAAAGGTCTCCTGGAACACCCCGAAACTTGTTGCGGGCCGGCGGAGCAAGCCCCCGGCCGCGCGCCCGCCCTTCCCACCTCTCCACCCGGCCCCGGCCCGGCGCCCCCGGGCATCCCCCGGCCCGGCGCCCCCTCCCGAAGCCCGGGGACCGGCCCGCGCGCTGGGCGCAGGCCCCGGGGAGCTCGGCAGCCTCACCTGCTTGCGGAAGGGCGTCCTGCAGCCGCCGGCGGCGCCGGGGTGGCCGCCGCCGCTGGGGAAGATCATCGCGGGGGCCCCGGGGCGCTGGGGAGGGGGGTGGCGGAAAGGCGGGCCGCGGCGCTTCGGGAACTCCCTGTGCGCCCGTCCGGGCCGGCGGAGGCTGCGGCCGCCGGGGACTGGCTCGCGGCTCCCGCCCTAAAAGTGCGGCGCGACGCGCGCGGCCGGCGACTCTGGAGCAGCTCCGGGGGCCGCCGCCCTGCGTGCCATGGACCGGAGTTCGCGCGCGCGGTGCCGGCGGCAGCGGACGAGCAGCGCCGCCGCGTCGTCCCCACCTCCCGCCGCCTGAACCACCGCCCCGAGAGCGCGCCGGCCGGGGGCGGGGAAGCGGCCGCGCACCGCCTAGTGCCGCGCCCAGCCCTCCCGCGCCTCCCGCCCGCCGGCCGCGCCCGCTCCTCCGGCCTCGGCCTCCCCTGCGCCCGGCCTCCCCGGCTGGGGCGGCAACCCCGGGCTGCGCTTGCGCCCCCGAGCAGTGGTTGGGTCTGGCGCCCCGCGTGCCGCGCATTCCTGGGAGCAGCCACCCCGGGCCCCGTCGGCGAGGCGTCGCCGCGCCTTCGCGCCCCACTTGGCAGCCCCTTTTAAGGGCATCGCTTCGGGAACCGCTGGAACACCTGGATGGGAAGCCAACTGCCGCCTTTTCTTTCATCTCCCACATTCAGCCCCTGGTCCCCAAAAGGCGCTGATAATAGCCCCCCCCCCCCCCCTCCCCCGCACAGATCAGCCCTCCAGCACACCTCCTTCGCCCCCCAATTCGAATGCTACTTTTTTTTTTTTGGTAGAGCAAACGGGTCCTTCACCGAAATACGCCCGGGAAAGTTTTCAGTTTCATTCTTGTCCACAAAGGAAGAGGGTTTTTTTGTTTTGTTTTGTTTTTCCTTCAAGATGACAGTATCAAAAAGGTAGTGAAACCATGTAAGCATTCTGAGGGGTGGCGGACCAGTCCTTCCTGAAAACGGCAGAAGGGTTATAGGAATCCATCCTCAACGTAGTTACTAAATACGACTGGACAGTAAAGGGACAAAGACGGGAGTAATTTCCTTTGTTCCCAAGTGGAAAAAAATAAATAAATAAACCGCTTCTCCGGCGGCCCCCTTAGCAGCCGTCACCTCTCTGGATGGATCTGGCTTTGAACCCGTGTGGTGTGGAAGCCTCAAAGGCGGGTGGGTCGTGGCAAGCACGCCATTTCTGTCTAGGGTTACTAGGGTGGTTGCCATCTTGAAATTGGCGGGGTCCCTGGGGAGTAGTCCAGAATTCTGGGATGACAGCCACCGGTACTTAGACACAGGTCTTCCTTGGCTCCTAACATCTTCCTGGAAAGGCCCATCTGCTGTGATAATGAAAGATCCCAGCTTGTCTAACAAGCGAAGGGCCTCAACTTCTGGCTGTCACGACGAAAGGAGTGAATGTAAACTTGCTAGCAAAAGTGTTGCCTTTCAGAGACTTCTCTGAGAACAGCAAGTTGGAAAATATACTTCCCGGATATCCTGCTGGTGGCTTCATAAACTGCTTCCGTAGTCCCCAAATCTCCAGCAAAAGTAACAAGAAAGTCATTCTTGCCTACTGAAAGCAGACACTACACACATACACTCACACATCCTTTACTCTTTTTACTTTAAAAGGAACAAAAAAAGGAGCAAAGGTACTAAATGCACAATGAGCAAGTAAAAACTTTCTCGATAAAATTCACAGGATTATCTGCCCCCGAGAGTGCTTCAAGACTAAGGAGCACAGCTACCCTGTGAGGTAAGGGGATACCAGAACTATTTTCCAGTACTCCATGCATTCCGTTGTTTGGCCCGCCCTGTTGTCACTATGACCCAGCACAAATATAAAGTGGACAGTTTTAGTTCCAACCTTTCAAGTCGAAGATCCCCTTTCCTGAGGGTTTACTGCTGAAGACACACCCTGTCCCCGGCACCACCTCCACGATCCCCACTAGTTATCCTATTAAAAAAAAGCCCACGCACAACCTCAGTTGTCCTGGCTGGTCTCTCAGGAAACCACAATCGAAAACGCAGAACAACAGTATGAACTTTTTTTTTTTTTTAATGGCATTCCGCTCAAGTCATGAAGCACTTGCTGCGTTGTTACCCATTGGAGGCTGCGCTAGTCCTTCTGTCACGCTAACACTTGATTGGATGTCTGACAGTTCTCTAGCGATGAGAAAATGTTAAGGGATAATAACATTCAAAGAGATGACCAAAAGAAGAAAAAGAAAATCTGATACTAGTAAAATGTGCAAAAAAAAAAAAAAACTGAAAGAACATCAAAGGAACTGATGTTAAGACTAAAAACAAAATATCCAAGAATTAACATGCAGTTTGCAGTCACATGAACTGCTTAAAAAGAGAAAATATAGGCATGTGTTCAAAAAAAAAAAAAAAGTGCACTCAGATTCAAAAGCTTCAAATGTATTTAGCCCTAATCTCTCACCTACAAAGCGTTACATGACGAAGAAAAGAATGACCGTCCATCCTCAAAATGGGGTCACTCAAACCCAAAGCATCCAACTTAAGGGAACTGACAGGAATGCAGAACCATGTGTACAACATGCACAGTCAATTACAGATAATCCATGAGCTCCTTGCTGAAAGAGCGATCACAGGGATGGAGTCTGGTGAGGTCCATCAAGAAAAGTCGACTTTTTGTTGCTTCTGTTGCTGTTGGTTGTTTTTTTGTTTTGTTTTTGTTTTGTTTTGTTTTGAAAGAGATGTATTTCAGAATAGAAAGTGAAGGAACCAACCAGAGACCCTGCAAGCTTCTATGGTGAGAATCGGTGCCTTGGAGCCTTGTCCTGTTTGCAGGGAAACTGAGACCCCAGCAGCCTGAGCTGTCTACCTCCTCCTCCCCCATACCTCAGCCCTAGGTAAAGCTGTGGGAACCTGACCCAGGGGCAGCCAATCCCACAGGCTGGCCAGTGACCTCTGATCTGGGTGGGATTGAAAACATGAGCTCTCCAATCCCATTCTTACCCTTGGGAATTTGATTCAGAAAACTTCTCTGGCTAAACCAGTTGGTTGAAGGGACAGAAACAAGAAGAGTGCCTGGGGCTAGAGAGGAGGCCACAAATGGCCAAAACCATACATAAGCCAAGGTTATGAGGAAGCAGAGACTATGAGTAAACAGGAAGCTGACTGGTAGCAGGCAGGAGAAGAGCAGGGCAGACACTGGGAGCCTTGAGCACTTAGTGGTGAGATGGATGATGGAGGGGGCTAGAGTCATGTCCCTAGAGACACACTGCTTCTTCAGACTAGCAGCAGCCCTCAGACACTGTATACATACTTAAGCCACAGCCCTGTTTAGGTGGATTCAAAGAATGTCTCGTTTCTTTGTAACACAAGAACAACAGAAAAGCAGAGCCAAACCAGCCTCACTCCGTATTTCAGTTCCACCCTTACTCCACACATGATTTAGGGCAAGTTAGTTGGCCTCTCTTTGTCCTGCATGGCCTTCATGGTACAAGGTCATTATCAGAAAGGTTACAGACTCAATAAATGGCAGCTGCTGGTGTTGTCTCCCAGGTTTTGTAGCGGAGGACACATGCATACATGCGCACAGCATCAATGTGGCAGGCCATCAAAGAAGAGAAGTGAGGGTATGTTGGCAAGTAACAAGCGTATTAGCTAAGGGCAGATCACTTTCAATACCTGTTTATTGAATGGCTGAATAAGCATGCTCTGGAAGGCTACCTAACTACAGATAATATCAACAAGAAAACAGGGTCTGTTTCAAGGGCCATGAAACATTGAAGATTTTTCTCTGTGGTTTTCCAGTCTTTTGAAGAAACCATATATTAGAGCCATTTCATGAATAGGAGTTCTGAGCAGTATCAAAGAACAGACTGTGGGCCAGGAGAGGCAGACACCGAAGGATACTGACAATGGAGCAACTGGGACAAGCAGGAGCCTGTGTGCCAGCAGGGACGATGAGACATAGGTAATGGTGCCTTCTGTGATAGCAGAGAGCCTGTATAACTGGAATTTGAGGATATGACAGGAGATGACACTCATCCTACAGATAGACAGATAGACAGACAGACAGACAGATAGATGAGACTCCGCTTAAGTTCCCGGCTCAGTCTCTGTGAGGCCTGCCACAGTAAAGCAAGCGGTCTAGACTAATGCTCTGTGGGAGTCCACAGCGGGGAAGAGCGACACAGGAGATCACACGGGTGTGCGATGCTGGGCTACGTAAATGTTGTGTTTGTTCACGTGCAGAAGTAAGCACTGTGCAGAGGACCAGGAAAAACAGACTTAGACACAGCAGGCAGAAGAGTGGAAGTGTGAGGTAGTTAGAGCTGAGACATTGCTGGGGAAGAGTCAAAACCCCAAGGATTCCTTCTCTGAAGCCTATTAATAGCCATACTATTGAACCTCTTGAGAGAAAGAGAGAGGAGAGACAGGAGAGTGAGAGCGAGCAAGGGAGGGAGGTGACTAAAAGTAAAACAAAACAAACACACACACAAAACAACCCACCACCAAACTGAGGGCTATCTCAGTTGCTGGAGTGCCAGCTGTGCAAGCTCAACATGAGTTCCTCTCCAACATGCGTGTAAAACAGGAACCCCAAGGTTGAGGAGACAGAAACCTGCAGATCTCTGGGCCTACTGACTACCCAGTGCAGCCTAATCAGTGAGCTCGAAGCAAACAGGAGACCCTGCCTCAGAGGAGGTGAACTGTGCTTCTGAAGACAACTCCCAAGGTCATCTCCTGGACTCCACATGCAAGCGCACACACATGCATGAGCATGGACATTTACACGTACACACTCACAGCTGTAAGAAGACAGGATATATGAAGTATGGTGGCGGAGCCGACTTCTGAAAGGCTGTGCAACAAGATAGAAATAGCACTCTATAAGTAAAGAGCTGGTCTACAGTGGGTTCTGTCCTTGTACCACATACTTAAAAGGTGAAGGGACCAATCAAAAACTGGAAGGAAGAGTAAAAATTCATTCAACACTGTTCCAAGTCACAGCCTTTCATGCATAAAACGTAACAGTACAGCATTGGTTAGTATAAGTCGTTCACATGGGGAAAAATCATATTTAAGAGTGTGTTTAAAAGCTCACAAAACTTCTGACTGACTGCTAGCAAAACAGAAGTAAAAATATAAGGTCAACAAATTCTTTACATTTCCGGCTTTATACAGATAGAGTTAGACAAGGACCCTATCTCTGAAACAGAACAACATTTTCTATGTATGTACATATGAAAACAGTATGTACTGTTTTCCTTTTTATAAAAAAGTTACAAATCTTATTCCAGATTTGAAGGCCCCCTAGATATGTACAAAATCACAC